ATATTCAATATCTGGAAAATAAATTGATTGCAAATAATGATTACTTACATTTATTTACCTTATTTGCGTTAGGATTAATGACCTCATCATTCGTTTTTTATAGCTACATTGTTATTACCTACATTCCTATGTATCTACATGTCTAGACCTTCAAAGCTACACCTACCATGCTACCTACACCGGGCTGAATCAAAGTCATTCCTCCCGTATTCCATTGATAAAAAAGAATTTCTAGTCAAACAGAACCTTTGTGGAACCTAATGCCTTGTGGATACCTCCACGAACGCTACAATCATCAGAGACAAACGTTATTCTCATAATCTTCACTTACTCTGCCTTGAGTTTCTCTTGCGCCTTCTTTTTGTAAAAAAATAAAGGAAAACGTTAGTATCAATTGCAAGAAAAGAGACACTCATTTTTATTCTACATAAGTAACAGTTGGGTATATTTCTAAGAACTGTGAGCGTTAAGACGATAAACTACATCTGACTGCAAGGCGGAGGTTTTGAGGAGCGTGAACCCACCTCTTAAGTGCTGGTATTCCCAGGTCCACCCTGATCCAAGTGGGTAGCACCTGCTAGGCTTCTAAGTATGGGCTAATAGTTATCGTCCAAACTGGGTCTATGACACTATGAAGGTATAAAAATACGTTTTAATACCAGCAATAAATTTTTAAAGGAAAAATTATTACCAGCAATGAACTATTACCAGAAATACATTTTTGAAGAAAATAAATATTACCAGCAATACATTTTTGAAGAAAAATGTATTACCAGCAATACATTTGTGAGGAAAAAGGTATTACCAGCAATACATTTTTGAGGAAAATGTATTACCAGCATTACATTTTTGATGAAAAAGGTATTACCAGCAATACATTTTTGAGGAAAAATGTATTACCAGCAATACATTTTTGATGAAAAATGTATTACCAGCAATACATTTTTGAGGAAAAAGGTACTACCAGCAATACATTTTTGAGGAAAAATGTATTACCAGCAATACATTTTTGGAAAAATATTACCAGCAATAAAAATCTTGTAAGCATTAAATAATTCGTTGAGGTTGATATGCCGTAAAACCAAACAAACCAAACCAAACCAAAACTGTGATCTGGCTAAAATGATGACCGCCGTAGATTATGCAAATACCTTGGTCATGTTTGCTAAAACCTGAGGATATACAACAGAACTTCTGTATAGTTTTAAGTATAAAACTCATTATCGGATATCGATCTTTTATACAGATGCGAAAATGAGCGAAAATTTGTGAGCTTTAAACAACAATAAAAAGCTTAAATTGAAGAGAAAAGTGCTTATGGCGCCTAAGGAATCATTGAATGAAGTTTTTACATCTTCTTTGCAATGTAATGCTTTTGTCTGAAAAAATTATCAAGATGCTTGATGCAATGAGTGAGAAATCAAGGAGATATTGTGGATGTGGCAAAATCGCCTATCCAAAATTGGTGGGCTTATGTACAGTGATTATTCTGGCAACATGTATCCGATTATTATCATGACGCAGAATTGGATCTCGTTGATTAACCAAGGCCGATCGTATTTTGCGCAACAGAATGTACATTTCATCCAGTTTCTGGCAGTAAACTCCGACGGTGATACTCTGGTCAAATACCAGAAAACTGTAATAGATAACGCCAATGGCGGACGGTCAACATTGTTAAACAATAGTTTCAGAATATTATTTTTTGGTGGCTCTGTATTTGGCTCACACCTTTTGATACTGAGCTTAAGGTCAGATGGTAGAGAAAATAGTGATGTCAATTTTGATTGGCTGAAACGAACATGGGAATAGAGAAATAGAAAGTGTTTTCAAGGAGTTAAGTTGTAGACGTCGAAGAATGCAGACGTATTATTTTCGTGTATGGAACTTGCACCCCAGTAGGGGTAATTGAGTGACCCCACTGGAAAGTTAAAAATGTACACGTCGACGTCTTTAATAAAATAGATAAGTTTAAAAAAACCCTTTTATTCTTATTTTATTTCCGAAATAAAAACACCAAAAAACTAGCGATCTCATGTCCGAGAGAAAAAAAAGAGAGGAAGATAACTTTATAATGACCGCCTCAAGACCGTCAACCAACACCCACTTCACACATGGAAGAGTATACAACATTTTTCTTATTTGGTGCAGTAGCCAAGACCTCCCCAATAGAGAGGGTGTGTCTATAACAACTATAATATTTTGTTGGTGCAATTCCGGTTTTGGAAAGTGTTTGAGTCGTTCGTCAATATGAAGTCATTATGCCGATGGCCTACAGTAGTCCTAAAGAATCCATTTCTCATCACTATTCGATCAAGAAATGGATTCTTCAAGTAATTCGCAGATGCAGTTTGGAATACATTTCAAAATTTAGAAGTCTTGGACTTTCACTGAGCTCAAGTGGGGCCCATTTATGGAGATTCTTCACTTTGTCAAATTCTCAGAAGATAGTCCGATAATGGTTGAGATGCTGACATCCATTATCTGGATTTTGTTTGACTAATATGTTGGTTGCTAATTGCGGAGAGACGTCCTCTATTACCTTTGATCTACAAGACTCGTATCCACACTGTAGAAACTTAGAGACAAGTACTATCCGATCACAAACAAATTCTTTAGCCCATGCTCCCTTAAAGTTGGCAGCAGATTGAGAAGCATGATGACCAACCTTGAACTCATTCAAAAAAGTTAACGTTCAATTTTAAGTTACATTCTTGTTGAAACTTGACTAATGCATGGAACAATAATGCAACACAAAATGTACTTAGAACAAAATGTATAGAAACAAGAAAGTGTACACAATATTTACATATAGTCTTTTGTATATTCCTGGTAAGACCGTTCCTGGAGAATGTGTTGACTTAATCGCAGTCGGGCAGAGTCTCTGGTTGAATCTCTTGATTCCTCCCTCTCTTCCCGGTACCAACCATATTTATATGGTCGGTACTCCACTATGCAAATTAGGTGGATCCTACCACAACAATTCTGAAAAAGAGTAATATAAATTTCACGAAGAGGACACTTTAATCATTAGGTAAGAGTCATATATTTTTGTGTATCTATTGTAATAACCTTGGTCAACACGTTTTTTGGTGACAAGAAACAAAACACATTTTTGAGCTAATTTGATGCTGCTGATTCCGAGTTTTTTTTTATGGTTAACTACCGTTTTTGCTGTACTGAAATTACTCATCTTTGAAAAAAAGATCAATTTAGGATCTTGGCTGATCGCAAAATTTAGTTAATAAAGGACAGAGAAACACATCCATTTTCAAGTAGGCAGAGCAATATATGTCAGCCACCTGAAATAAAGTATCTTTATAAGAAAAAAAGTGTTTTTGAGTCCAAGATTTTAAAATAGAAGTACTGAAGTTTTCCAATTTATCGCCAAAATTCAAATTAACTGATAAACTTTATCAGTAATACACTTTAGTTAACCTGATAATTAAGGTGACATTAAAAATGAAACCCTAAAATCTTCTGTTTGACGTTCATAAATTTATCCCAACACTTTTATCACTACACTACGGTAGGAAACCAAACACATCCCAAATGAATGCACCTATTCCACTGTACATGTTACTGCTGCAGTATCAAAAGGAACTTAAATAACATTGAACATGAGAGACAATCAAGAAAGAGAACAAATTTTACCATAGTTCTTATGTTCACGAAGGTTTTATTTCTACTGTTTATTAAATGATTTGATGAAAATACTTGTTCGTCTCAGTATATTGAATCTTGTTATTTTTAAGAAACTTAATATTTGATTATTTTTGCAAAAATAGTATTTCTCAATAAGCAGACCAATATTTGTTGGTTTAAATATGAATTGATAGGTTTCTACGAATTTATTTTGAGAAATATTGCCAGCGGTCAATACCATATATACAGAAAACAAATGAAAAAAATGGCTTTTTTTTCCCCAAAAAATCAGTCATTTCTGTACAGCAAAAACAGTACCTAAGAAAAAGTAAAGTCATTTTCAGATTCAGCGTTCCTCAAATTAGCTAAAAAAGATGTTGAGTGTCTCGACACCATATTGTTTTGTTGACAAGTTTAATATATTAGAAGACAAAAGTTTTCTTCTAAAATCGGACACTATTTTTCGCACACTTTAGCAGCAAATAACATTCGACAAGGAATCAGTGAACTACCAACTCTATCATAAATAATTTTTTAACTGTGGGTGGATTTTCATGGACACGGCTGGCGTCCAAAACCCTCTCTAGGCAGGATCACACAAGGGTCGGTTGATCAGTAGCAACACATATCGACATTATGCAAATGCGTCTGATGGATTACGTCAAAAAGATTTTTTTGGACTGCTAGGTAAGCTTGATTTATTTAGAAATTATATTAGAACAATTCACAATTAATACATGGGGAAAACCGCTTACATACAGATGGCAAATTAAGTAAATGTACAGAAATGCCCAGAAAGTGGCTTAAGATTAGGATATGTCTTCTCCCAGGAACGATTCAATCTATCCAGTGATGCGACCTTGAAAGACTTAGAAGTTCTACAAAGATTACCAGTAGAGTTACAAAGAGAATAAACAGATGACGACAACTTTATTATGATTGCAAAATTTTGTTTATTTGGCGCAGTGGTCAAAGACCACAACTGTTGAAAGATAGATATACAACAGCCATAACATTTTGTTGGTGCACTTTCGGTTTTGGAAAGTGTTAGAGGTAGTTTGTCAATATGAAGTCATTAAGTCGATCGTCTATAATTGTCCTAAACAATCGATTTCTCATCAATAGTCGATCCTAAAATGCATTCTTCAGGTATTTTGTAGGTTCTGTTTCTCAGAGAGTCACATAACTACAATCAACAGGTAGCTTCTTTGTGTGGAGGTGGGGGCTAATCCTCTGCATGTGGGCGTATTCTTGACCCCAAACAGAATGGGCAAATATTGGAAGTTATTACCTGTTTTATTCAGAGCATACATAGATGTAGATAGAAGTTTATCGTTATTCTTTCTCTTAGGACATACGGCCGTATCACGTTGAAACACCGCTTCTCGTGCGATCACTGAAGTTAAGCAACGTTGTGTCTTGTCAGTACCTAGATGCGTGACCACTTGGAAATACCAGGTGCTGTAAGCTTCGATGTGCGGCTGGTGTAATTGATAATGGCTCGGAATTGAAAATCTGAGAGCCGAGTTCCAATTCAGGTTGGGTTCGTTATATTCACTTATACGCAAATAGCCTTGGACAGGGTATGAACCCACATCTTCTATCCACCAGATATGAGTTAATTAGTAAGACTTGTATCAGCAAATCATTATTATCTCAAAAAATTCTTAGAATCTAATTTCTAACTTTAAATCTTTTTATTATATTGAACGCTGTGATCTTTGCATCTTGTTTGTCGGAAGTCTTAGATAGAGAGTTGGGGAAAGAAAGATGTAAATTTATTATTGTGTAGGAGGTGGGGGATGAAGCCGATTTTCTTACGAGAAAGAGTATAAAACACACGAAATCCGGCCCCAAACAGGATACGCACATCTGTCATCAAGGTCCACGCCACTCTCGCTTGTGAGCTTCACGACCTCAGGCTAAAAGCGACAGCGCTGACAAACTTCAAAGAGACCAGACTATAGTAATACCGTCCACAAATGCTATCTCTTTTATCTTCTACTATGAACCACAAACGCACGTGTTGACTTTTTCGCACAAACACACACATAATAAACATTTCATTGCTTCTCACATACGGACATAAGAATAATTTATATTTTATTTCGGGATTTTGTTAACCCAAACAAATTATTTTCCAATCTGTGACCAATTGTTTGTATTCTTGTCGTTATATTAAATTAATGTTCATTTATTGAAATTACGTTGTCTTTTCTACTGAATTTTTTCTTTCAATGAAAGTCGTTTGAGTATCCTAAACAGCCGAATTACGTGCAGCCCAGCAACAATATTATGATGTTATTGTATCGAATTCCAACACTCCAAGTCTTGACATCCCAAGCTCTTATTGTTAAACTTTCTTCGGACAATTTTTTAATGCTCAAAGAAACTTCAATAACTGCAAATAAATATATTTTAAAAAAATATGTTTACTTTCACAAACTCTTCATGAAACTGTTGCCAATGTGAAATCTCAGTAATTCTCTTATTAAATACCCCTCAATACTTTGCCACGCACATTCGTATTCGGGGTCACCATTTCTGTAGCGGTATTGACGGCGTAAATCAACCCGTACACTTTTTGCTTTACGAATGTGTAAGCAAACGAAAAGCAAACAAGAGAAAGAACACAAGAAAATAACTTTTCATAACAGGTACTTTGGTATTCTCAGCATCCTTCTGTAGAACCATATTTCTGTCGCATCAGTTACCTTCTTAATCTGTGTGAAGATTGTCTAGTATTCAAACCCATATAGGAAGACTGATCTTACATGACATCTCTGATAACTATTTCCTTCGATTGGTATCAAGTTGTATAATCTCCCCAGTTACATTAGTGTCAAACTCTAATCTCTGTGCTGTATCTTGAATTATTTCGGTGTTTCTGTGGCATTAGTTTATTATCTTTTCAGTTGCTGTTGTATAATCAGTTTTTGCTACACCTCCCGACAGCAGTAAATCGTACACTGAACATGTTGATTCTGATCGCTAACCGGATGGTTCCTCCACCGAGTGTCGTCTGTCTACACCATTGGACAACATATCCACCGTATTGCTTTCCTATATTTTTTGTACTCCTCTCAATACGCTGCTTTTTTTGGGAACTGGGGTACCTCAGTAAGACTTTGGCTATTTACCACGCCCACCTCTCTTAGGAGAAGAAAGACCAAAAGCAGGTCCATAGTCTTTGCTAGCAATGTACAACGCTTGATTCCTCTGCCATCAATGGTTTGCATTTAGTTTCTATCGTGAAAACCTCGCGTCACATTCCCTTGCTTACATCTGTAAACTCATTCATTTAGAATTGCTAAGAGCGATCATTTTTTCAGCTGCTCTCAAACAAACTGAAGTTATACTTAACATAAATGAATGCCGAATGTTATCACTTAATGAAACAGCTTTTTACTTCGATAATTAGAAATGAGAATAACATATACCCGGTTCGGTTCGGCATCCGTCCGTCTCGGGAGACGATGGAGTAGCGCTGCACTGGAGTGTCCTCTCCAGTGCGCTACGAGCCTTGACGGGATGTATGGAGAACTAGGGCTGCCTGGACGTCTAGTTCCCCTCTCAGCCTTTGTAGCAGAGTCCAAAGGAGAGCATGAACCAATACAGTTTGGTACCGGTGCAGCTGCATCAGTTGCCGGAATGGGCACAGCCGGGTAGTCTGTAGTGGTAGTGCTTGTCGCTGTAGGTGCTAGGCGATGGAGTTACATCGCCTCTGTTGACTGTGTAATCCCACTCTGGAGCAGCAGTCTCCCGGGCACTATGGGTTTTTTACCGGTAACTGTCACTATCCGTGTTGTGCCGATGTCTTGCGACGTTGCTGGAGTGTCCTCTCCAGTGCGCTACAAGCCTGGGCGGGATGTATGGAGAACTAGGGCTGCCTGGACGTCTAGTTCCCCATCACGGCCTTAGTAGCAGAGTCCAAAGGAGAGGATGAACCAATACAGTTTGGTACCAGCGCAGCTGCAGAAGTTGCCGGAAAGTAGCACAAAGTGCCGTCCATCCGCCTTAGAGGCTCCACTCCAGATTTGTGTAGGGTTTACTCTTAGCCTTTTCTTCTCCCGAAGATTTCCACAAGGCAGTGGACCTATTTAACCCATAGCTGGGTTTTGGTTCATGGGCACCAGGGCATGTCCTCACACCAGTAGGCCTGCATGTCACATGTTAAGGGGACCAAACTCCTCTTCCCTCCTCTGTAGTTTTGTCCGAGTCCACAAGGTGCTCGTTTGCCATGGGTCGTCACGAGGAGGCACTACATAGGGCTTGCTGCTGGAGAGGCTATATACTACACAGTGTATTTACTCCCCCCCAACTCTAGCAGGATGTGACACAAGATCAGTTTGGTGTGGGGTGCACGAACGAGTGTAGCTGGGTCAGGTACAAAAATAGCCCAGCTCCCACAAACGCCGGTCACGCTGGCATCGGTATACTACCGATCCCCATTCTTTATTACAATGAGGGAGCGACTGTTTCCCGATACCGGACACCCCTCAATAGTATTTTCAGTTGCAGTCTGTCCGGAGACATAGACACAGCTGATTTCGCTCTGTCTTCGGAAAGAACACAATTGAGAGATAAAATGCAACTGATCCGCCCGAGGGAAGATATTATACATTGATCCCATCATGATGGTCAGGGAATGACGAAAAGCGTAACTCAAGTAACAGTGGATTGTATATCAATGACTACCGAATATTTCCACGCATGGAAACAGCAGATATTAATGTTTCAATTAGCATTAAAATGGGTGGTTCCCGGTGAGAGTTTCGACTATCTAACCTTGCAGGGCATCATTTCTAAGCCATATTCGTGTGATCGGTTTTGACAGAATCGAGCATCACCGATGTACCTGGTACAGTATGCACAGAAATTCTTTGAAATAATAAGTAAGTCTTATGACAGTCGAATGTCCTTTATCTCTAAAAAAAAAACAAAAAACAAAAAAAAACAAAAAAAAAAACAAAACAACAGAAGCACGTGTGTCTCCATGGCATAATACTTGATTGCTGTATTTTCTTTCTTTGAATCTTATCTCCAGATACGTCCGTGTCTAAACCGCAGATACAGACACTGCTCCGATGGCAGAAGCCTTTGAAGATTTTATCAGAATATCTAACCCCCACCAAGATGCACACAATGCACCCGAGTCAAATTTGGTATCGTTCTTCCGGGTACAATTTAATTTTCTCTCAGTGAATATAAATTGAGTGATAACTATCTGTTTATCAACAGACAAAAATCTATACGCATATACAAACACACCTAGATATAGCCAATACATTTTTCATGTACGTAAGTAATTCTTTAGTTTTCCTTATAAATAGTGAATGATTTCTACTGATGTTATTCAACTCAAGATATAAGTTCATAGAAAAACATTTTATTAAAATATTATTTTTTTAAATAATTTCACTCTGAGCAAGGAGATAAAGCCTTTAAGGTATTGAGAGTGAAAGAGTGTGAGAAAAAAAAAGGATTATTAGGGAGGGAGGACAATAAAAAAAAATGGATAAAACATATAGACCACTTCCTCAAATCAAAAATAGACTCACACGTTCGTTGAAAACTTTTTCACATCAACTGCGGAATTTAACATTAAATATATTTTTTATAATGATGTTCACCCTGCATAAGGCCCATGGGTCACTCGATGATGCAATTTGGGAAGCACCATTTTGGGAGTTGTTTCTTCGGAGAAGCGGTTGGTGTGAAAAAGCTTTTCTTAAGTCCATCTTGCATCAATGGAATTGGAAGGGGATAAAGGTGGCTGGATTGGTCGTTATTGTAGACTGCACGATAACTGACAACAAATCATTGCAATTAATGGTGACTATATTTTAATTATTTCCACCCCAAGCAAGGTGATAAAGCCACTAAGACGTAAGGGATTAATATCAGAAAGTGAAAGAGACTGAGAAAAATATTAAGAAGAAAGGGCGAATAAAAAAAGGGGCTTGAAAAGAAATAGAGGATGGCGACTGACATTGCATTTAACGTTAGAAAATTAAACATGATTGGAAAAACAAAATCCAGAAGATAGTTCCACATATAATAATTTCACCTGTAAAGTGGTGAGGACTAGTTGCCGATTTACTCTTCTTTTATGTGTCGTGTTCTTATCTGGATATAGGCAATCTCCGTTTTTGTCTTTTTTGTTATTTTTCTTAAACTCTGTCCTGCCATCCATTTGCTCCGACTCATCAAGTATTTTCAGCGCTGCTTTACACTGTCCCTCAATCTGTCCTGTGGGTATCAAATTTTCCAAGACTTATTACGTGCCCCAGACATTTCAACTGCCTCTTCCTGATGTTAAATATGTTTCCTTTTTGTTTCCATACTCTTCAAAACCTCGACGTTGCTCACATGTTCGGCCCATGGTATCCTCAGAATCTTTCTGTAGAACCACATTTCTGTTGCTTCAAGTCTCTTCTTCATCTTTGAGGAGATTGTCAAGCATTT